AAAACTTATAATTAATCGATGATGACTACTATAAAGCTTCAAGAAAGCAAGGATAATATTTATACACTAAATTGTTGCAAATATCGATATTTAATAAAGTTAAAGTGGTATTGTTATAAAGCATTTTTGCTAATGCTAACCTTCTTCAAAATCAAGATCATTAACACAAAATATTTAAATAAGTTAGTGTTTTACAAAGAGCTCTTACGAATGCTTTTCCATCCTCAGAACCAAATTTATTAATATAAATATCTAAAGAAGTAAAAGAAATGTTCATAGAAAGTCATTTCCTAGTGCTATTCCACCTTCAGGACCAATATTATTGTATAAAAGATTTAAAAGAAGCCAGATAGTGTTCGTACAAAGAGCATCTGATCCGATATAATTATTGCGACAAAGCTCCTTTCCTAAGAGCTTTACTACTTCAAAATCGAGTTTATTATAAGAAAGGTTTAAAGATGTTAAAATAGTGTTTTCATTAAGCGCCTTTGCAAATGCTTAGTCTAAGATTTAAAGTTAATGCGGTATTGTTACGAAGAGCTTTTGCTAATGCCTTTCCGCCTGTTAAAGTAATAGAATTATAATCAAGAGATAAAGAAGACAGTGTGGGATTCTTATAAAGTAAACGCTTCTCCTCCTTCAGAGGAAATAATATTGCTAATAAGATCTATATGTTTCTTCTAATGTCTTTCCTCCTTCATTTCCATATAATAATGAAGTTGGGGTATTGTTTACCTGAAGCACCCCTGCTATCACAATGCCAATATCAATGTTGCCAAAAATAGCGTGCTATTTTCTCGAAGGTTCTTGCCAAAGCTTCCCATCCATTGAGCCGAGATAAGATCTAATGATGAAAATAAATATAATTCATCTGTAAGGGTAAGATTGAATTCAGACGATTCTACTCTATCTATTGATTTTGAGTAAAGATTTTTTTTTTATTAAATATATATATATTTTTTAAAAAAAGGATTTTTTTTGTTTGCTAGTGGGGTTTTCGTTATCACTTGTGGGGCTATCGGGGTTAACATATGACCTGGATATTAACCAGGCTGGTGTATTTGGAGGTGATTGATTAAACTTATAAAGCATATTTGCTAAAAAATTGGTAGTTTACAATAATATCCTACCGTATATTTTCTTTTGCGGTTATATCTACTCATTTTTTCGTACGTACGCGTAAACGCGAGATCAGAAATTTTTTAAAAAATTAACTAAGCGAAGAATTGAGATGAACAGATTTTTTTCACAATCATTTGATGTGATATAAAATAAACATGATAATCTAGCATCTGGACAATGGGCTCGATTAACACTAGCGCATACAGGAATTGGAAAAAAAAATAATTGCTTAATTTCTAGAAACCCACATCTTGAGACTTCATTTCTTGATTCTAGTAACACTAGGTTAGCATTCGGAAAATACCACCAATTTTGAGCGATAAATTAAGTTATCATTAGGGACAATGAATTTTCCGAATCATTGAAATTCCGAAGGAGCCCTTCATTTTTATATCAATTACATAATTTACTGTATAATCATCAGTAATGATGTAATTTGCTTTTAATTTGTCAGGACAAAGTTTCATGTTTCTAGTTATTGTAAACTTTGTGCATAATGACCACCTGTTATTCTATTCTATATAAGGTTTTTGGCATCAATTACTTTGATAATTTGA